AATAAAGCTGTTTTTGTTGTTTGCCCGTGGGGGCGGGGAGGGGGGAACCCTGGGGGGGGAAAGAAATTGGGTTTGGGCCTTGTCCGGTTAAGGGGGAAGGTTCCCGGGGCCCCGGGGTACACCCCCCGCCCCCCCCCCCCCCCCCCACCCCCCTGCGTTGTTTAAAGCATGTTGGTTCAAGCAGAATTCAAACTTTCAATCCCTGAAAACAACCTTTCCCATGTGCCAACAGAGGATAACTAGAAAGCACCCATGATCTTTTATTAAATTCTTAACATGTTAAAGGGGATCTCAATTTACTTTTCCAAGTTATAATTAGTTGAAGATTCAGAACAGTTCATTTATAGCAGAATATTACATGCCAGTTTTTGCTGTGAGACCCTAGCTAAGCAGCACATTAGTCCTTGGGTGTTCCGTGGTTTCCTGGGTTTCGTGTTTCTATTTAGGCGCTACAATGCGGACGTATGTTTGTCAGGGTCTGTCAGGATGATGCTTGTGATTACCAGCAAACGATCTGTTTCACGTGAAAGATTTTGCAAAAACTGGCTTAAAATACCACCTCATAAAGCATCAAATAGTCAGTGGTTTTTTTTCTGAAATCGGTGTTTAATTTAAGTTATACAATGCACACCTAAAGGTGAAAGCATGACTGTGGTCATTTTCCCCCTATTTATCAGCTTTTATCCTTAACTGATATACGGGCGAGCTTTTGAAATCTGAGTTTGTAAACGCGACATCTCAACACTGAATCGGCTTGTTTTATTACAGTGGAACCTCGATTTAACGAACCTCTATATAACGAAGTCCTTGGGAAAATGAACGATTCTCTTCAGCCCGGCCAAAATTACAGTAAAATGTATGGAACAGAATCTCGATTGAACGAAATCCTCGTTATAACGAACACAATCCAGAAGCGCAATCGTAGATTATACCTCGTTATAACGAATAAATGTCAACATTTGAAAAAAGATGAAAGCCAAACCGAACCAACAAAGATAAAAATTTATGTGCACAGTAGTTTTAAGCAGTTTGTTTGCCGGTTTTTGAGTTTCTAGTGCCGTAGCTATATACAGCTCGGTACTGAGGCGTTATCAGTAATTGTTCAGATCCGAGAATGCTGGGTTTGGTAAATTAATTATTAACTATACCTCGATATAACAAACATTTTGGTTGTTTTTTTTTTAGAAAATTCGTTAAATCGAGGCGTTCGATATAACGAACCCTCGATAACGAATAACTCTCCCCAGTCCCCTGGCACTTCGTTAATTGAGGTTCCATGTACTGTAGTATTTTTATTATTGCTATTCTAACTGACCACAACAATTGACCACAATTCGCTACTGTACAACCATAGCCAACTCTGAATTTCTAGAACGTAAAATCCTTCTTAACGCCCTTCGAAAACTATGCATTCTGAATGTATATAATATTGGATTTAACGCAGAATTTAGAAGACCAATAAATAATACCGCTCGAAGGACATGTGCAGAGATCTTGGTAGTTGTGGTGTACTGTATAGTTTCAGTTACAACAGATGGAAGCCAGCACAGTGCAAATGTACTAACAAACAGAAAGATAGCTTTAGCGACTTCCTGTTCTCGCTTTCTAGCCATGACGCTCGCTTCGTCCGGTTGAATAAGGCATTGTCGAGTTCCTTGCGCGAGGATGGTATTGTTGAATTTCCGAATTATTAGGAACATGCGGAAATACAAGCAAAACATGAATAATACGAGAAAACAACCGATACCAGTAAAAAGAAACAAATTGTACCAGCGCCTCTTCCAAAATGGTATTAATAGAAAGCTAATGACTACTGCAGTAAGCCAAATCAAGAAAATGAAGATCTTTATGGCTAGGGTGGTGAAAATCGTCTCTCTTCCTAGGGGCCTCTCCAAAACGATGTATCTCTCAATTGTCAAAAACATAACTGTCAAACACGAGGCATCAACTGAAAGAACAATTAATAAATAAGACGCAATAGAATAGCTTTTGTCTGTCTCCACCCAGTACTGAAGGGCCCAAAGAGGTTCAACTATAAAACCTACAATGAGGTCCGCTGCAGCCAGGTTTACTACTAGGAAGTTTGAGCTGGTTCGGAGCTCTTTGTAAGGGTCTTTGTACACAGTGATAACTACCATGAGGTTGCCTGTGGTCGTTAGGAGGGCTAGACAAACTGCAATGACCATTTCAGCAATAGTGATCTTCTCCAGTAGAAATGAATTCTTTTCTTCGTGTTCAGTCATTCTGCTAACGTCGGGCTGTGAGAAAGAGAAGTCAGTTAACACAAGAGAGGATAACAATTAAGACGGAACCATTAGGAAATTAGGTAATTTTAACTTTCAGTGAACGAAAACCTTGAACCAGGAATAATTTAAACAATACCGCATTCTTTTTTACAGTTTTCAAGGGCTATAGATATAATTTATTATCTGTAATAACACCAAAAACTATTTCTCATGGGAGCCCGAGAAAATAACTGTCAAATTTCACAAGAATTTTGAAAACATAGGTAAAATTCAGAAAATTTCATGTGAAAGATGTCATTTTGTGAAATTTGACATCCGTTTTCTCTGGCTTCCACAAGAAATTTTCTTTGGTGTTATTACAGATAACTAATTACATCTATAGCCCTTGAAAAAAAAAAAAGAATGCTTTACTCAATTTCCTGATGGATGCGGTCCTACTCAAGTAGTTTAAGGCCTGTGATTTAGGGGCTTACCTGTGGAAAATGATTTATTGCCTATAACTTCGGCATAGATAATGGCGCTGAATCAAAACTCGTGTTACTAAGTCACGTGACCATTTTCCTAAAAATCGTAAATTATTGACTAATTGGTGGCCCGTTTAAGAAAAGAAATGGAGCAATAACATTTTTCTAATTCATTATCAAATATTTCTAACACTTCACGTTTGGAATGACCGTCCGTTGCACTTCAATAAAAAATATTGACGGGAAACATCATTTTGAACTGCCCAAATTTAATCTTGAATTATTGAAAACTTTAATTTTAAACTTCGCGTACATTCATTCTTCCAAGCGTAGAAAGTTAGGTGCGTTTATCATTTTTCAGAAATGCAATTTGTTCCCAAACAAAGTAATTAAGTTCGCCACCAACTCGTCAATTTTCTTCATTTTCAATTTTTGGTCACGTGAAATGTTACGTGACCTTTATTAAACGTTAAGGCACAAGATTTACTTTTGGGGAAAATTTCATTTTGTCTTAGGTCTCCTAGCGAGAGACCTTGCCAATCATTCATATGCTCCGAACACACCTTTGGCCCAGGCCTCGGCAAACCCACTGAGTAATCCTATTTTTAAGTTTATCGGGTGTCCCGCAATGAATGGATGTTTGTTTGGACGAGAAATAAAAAAAAAAAAAACAAATCATTTTCTTTGTGTTTGAAATTTTGAGTCCTTTCCTCGGAAACCCAATGGAATTGTGATCTTGTCATCGAACCCACGTTTATCTTACGATACAAAGGAGGAGGAAGATGATGCTGATAATGAAAAGGAGGAGGAGGAGGAGGAGGAGGAGGAGGAGGAGGAGGAGGAGG